GTCCCAATGAAGCCACTGGAACTACTGTAGTTGTGGTACTAAGCGCTACATTCAGTCGTAAATGTTTGCAGGATTGGGACGGTACTTTGTACAGATCACTGTTGACAGTATTTGCAGAACATAAGCCTGAGTAGGAACCATTTTAGAGCCAAAGACCTTTTAAAAACCCTCCTTAAAATGCAAAATGGGATGTTAATAATGTTTGCCTTTTGTCATAAAATCTTGACTAATTGCTTTAGAAAAGATAAAGTTATTACTCTACAAATGGAACAAAGGCCTTATACCCACAGTCTGATGAAATCACCTTTGCATCAGTATAAAACAGGAAAACAAGAGTGAGTGGGAAGTTTTACTATAGCAACCAAGTTTACATAATATCATTGTTTTTCAAGCGAAGGCTCTAGAAATGCTTAATTCAAGGTACTGTACTAATTTTAAATGACATTCATTTCAGCGAATAACTAATTACGGGGGAACAGACCATAGAATCAGACAAAATCTCTCAAGTACCTAATGTTTATTGGTATTTAAATTGCATTGACTAGACCAACCAAAAATTGATTTTATTTTTTTAAGATCAAATCGTCTCTAAGCACTTTTTAAAAAAAACAAAACAAGAATAATTGTATACAATTTTAATTTAAGAATGTGATGCGGTAAACATGTGTTTGATGCTGGTTTAAAATAAAGAGCAAGCCTTGGAGGTATAGAAAAAACCCATACATGAAGTTTAGGGCCTGATGTTATACAACCTCACTCCCAAAAGTAGTCCTGAATCTCTTCAGGAATCAGCTTAAAATTAATGAATTACTCTCGGGAGTAACGGTTTATAGACCCTTTGATTATGCCACACAGAGAAATAAATTTGCAGCTTTTGTGAAGCTGCATTTATAATAGTTTTGTTGATTCTCAGTAACATTTAGGGAGAATAGAGCAGAAGCTATACTAATTTTACAGAAAGAAAAAGATCACTTATCTTAATGCTTATTTCCCTCCCTTCCTGCCCCTCCAGAGATCTGCTACAAAATTAAGCCCTTACTCACTGGGAACCATGAAACGAAATAATTCCTTACCTGCTACTATGTACACTACTACTTTCTAGCCTGTGGTCTGTGTGGCACGGGTGTTTCTTTGTGAAAGATAGTGAGCATTTTACATGCATAGTATAGAGCTGCTTGGGCAGATTCTTATCTCACGTACATGGGTGTAAATCTGGAATCACTCCACTAAAGTCAAGGGGGTTTGCTCCAGATTTACACTACTGTTAGGGAGATTAGATTTCTGTTAGAAGTTTGCTCTGATGCCCAAGATCAGCTGAAGCTAGAGCAGTGCTCGGTGGCCTAGAGGGGAATAAAGTAGTATATTTGAATTCTCTACACTGCTTTGTGGGCTCATTATGTAATGAAGTCATTCAGAAACTTTCCCTTGAAGTGCTTCCAATAGTAGCATTTCCTGTGTTCAAAAATGGATGGGAAGTTGACTAAAAGAATGACAATTAAGTTTGGGGGGGGGGGGGGAAGCATGAGCACCATGCCAGACTTGACTGAAGGGCTACAAGGGGGCTCTGCTTGATTTCTCACAGACTGAATTAGAATCAAAGGCAATGATGTCAGAATGAGCTCATACCCTTGAAAGTGATGCAACACTTAGCAATCCCCTTTCTTCCAATTCGCTCTCTTGTGTGGGTCTTTCCTATAAAGACAGGTTTTTACAAGGCCGAGCTGCTCTAGAATACTTGCCATGGACATAGTACATAGTTCAAAGAACTGTACAAACAGTGACTAATCCACAACATTGTGGGGTAAATTAGTATTATCCTCCCCATTTTACAGATGGAGAAACAGAGGCAGAAAGATTAAATGATTTTACTAAGGCAGCCAGGGCCGGATCCTGTTCCTCTGAAGTCAGTGGGCATTGGATGGGGGCCTACCACAGTGGCATAGATGAAATTAGAACCCAAGAGTTTCTGACTCCCAATCCTGGGTGCCTTCCTCTAGACTAACATAAACGATACCAATTGAACACAACAGAGACTAAATCAGCCAATAACTGATGCTCCAAAAGACCATGTTATATCTATTGTTTGATTTATGCTGTGAAAATTAAAGGGACCATTCCATTTTTTTCAATATTTTTCAGTATTTGATAGCGATAAGTTCTGCCAAAGCATTCTTTCTTTAACTCAACAGTATTTCTTAATATTTTTTTAAAGTCAGTATTGCGTGAGCATGTGCTTTGATCACAGAAATGGAGTCAGTATTAAAAGTAACAGAGAACCGTGGTTGTAATATTGCTGTGTGAAACACTAGGAATTTTTTTTTTTCACTTACCCTCTGGGTACTATATTAAGTGCATATGCAGCCACTACATTATTTATATTTGGAAATTAAATTCTTCAAATACAGCTCTCTCTCTCCCTCCCCCAATAGCTTTTCTTGATTAAAATCTCCGTATCCTTTACAGAGTGGGTTTCCTTTTGTATTTGACCCTGGTCCTGCCTCTAACTTTTAAATAGCAAAAGCAAATGTGCTTTGAAAAGTGTGTTACACTGTAGTTGTTAAATAAAGCAATAACCTATGCACTTGTAATGCTTTTGCTATGACCTACTTACATACTACTTCACCCTCCTTATAGTATGATTAAAAGCTGCTTTGAATCCACTATTCCCTCAAGGGATTTGAGGCTAGAATTTAACAAACTGCTGAGAAGGCTTAAGTCAGTAAGAGGGCTTCCCTACAGCTTCTTCCAGCTAATTCATATGTAATTAAAAGGAAAATAAATATTTCAAAAGAACATATGTTTTAATGAAGCATTTTTAAGCATTCATACCTTAAGAAAGGGACAAATGTATACAGATCTCCTTATTTCATATGCAGATTTTGAACCAAATGATTTGTGATTCCCCCCCCCCCCCCTTTGATGCAAAGAACTGATTTACTTAAGGTGAAATTCTTTATTCATTAAGACTGTCTTCTTCCTAAATGACCCATGCAAAGTTTGAGGGCCAGGAATCTCTGTATTTCTCTGAAATTAGAAGGTACCACAAAACTTCGTGTGACAGGAAGCGCATGGGTGAGGCCCCAAAGGGTCAAATGGTGATGGAGACTTCTTATTTTAAAGAATATCTTCATCCTCATTGAGCTCTCTGCCTGCTTCGTCAGGGCTAAAATCTGCCTCTTCTCCAGTTGCAAGATTTTGAAATTGAAAGTTAATCCAGCTCTACTCTAGGCTGGATTAACCACCAGGAAGGCCTCAGATCAAAGGACAGGTGGCTGCAGCCAGCCGGAGAAAGTTGTACTGACTTTCCTTCATTTCTGTTTCACACTGATTCTTCTGCCACTCTATGGGTTTGCTCCCAGGATGCTGATGAAGGTGGCATAAGGACCTATATAGAACTGGTTAATAATACTGTGAAGTGCTATTTCTTCAGGTTTACGGCTCTCCTAGGCAGATCAGAGCAACAGCTTAGGTGAGCCCTTTTTCTTTAGAGCTGTAAAATAGGCAAAAATTCTAGCAGCCTGAGGGTTTTTCTTTCTTTCTTTTATTTGGAATGATAAAACGTCTTAAGCAGTGAAATAAACTTTTTAAAATTAGCCCCTGTTATCGGATATTAACAGTAAATGACAGTTGGCCCGAGTTATAGCATGTTTAGTACTGATCAGCGGGAGTACATTTCAGTGTAAAATTTGAAATGCTAAAGATTAAATGTTCCCAATGTAGTCCTCTTTTGTTTCTTCATTTTGTTTGATTTTTTCCCCCTCAGTTATATCCAAAATTACAAAATGTAAAAAAGAGACTCAGAAAGAGAAGAAAATACAGTAGAAATAACAAAATTGTCTAGCTAGAGTCCTCAGATCACCCAGTAATCTTTGTAAACATCAATTATTTTGCCAAGAGCTGCATTGCATTGGAGCAAACAAGTATAAGGACATAAAGGAAAATGTAGACAGCTTTTCACTTTGTTTGGTTTTAGTAATTGGGTGAGTGTGTGTAAATTTCTGTGTGCGTCTTGATTATTTGTTTTCTATATCAGCTGTGCTGAACTCCCAAGTATATCAGTGGGGGGCAAGGATTTTGGCAGATTTATATATCAAACGATTGCCATTGTTATTAGACTGACTACTTTTTAGCATGGTTAGCAGAGAAGATATTTTCACCCTTCATATTTCTATGGGCTGCTACCATAAACCTGAAATGGCTGTTTAAGCTTAATGGAAGCCAAGACTTGGCTGTGGGAATTTTGAATATATAAAGCCATTACTGAGGAACTAATTGTCTTTCTATTGTTTCAATGCTCCTAATGGTTTCAGGTTCATATAGTAATTGTCTTTCCACCAGTAAATGGCAATTTAATGTTCTTACTGTGAGAGCTGTTTGTGTTTTAACTAGCATGTTTTATAAATTTCAGAAGTGGAATTATTTTTAACTAGAGGCTCATTAACAATATCGAGATTTGTATTTACCTGGAACCATGCATTATCCTGATGTAATCTAATTATGTGTGTGTGTATGTATATATGTCCAAAATATTAAATTGTATACGATTGCTAATAGTTAATTTATTTGCCAATGTAATGAGTATTGGTTTGAATATTTTAATGGCTTTTACAGAGTTAATGCATTTTATTTTTTAAAGTTTAGTTAGATGAAACTATATGCTGTGTTAAATGGAAGTGGACCTAAGATTTTAACAACAAGAAGTCAAGTTCTTGAACTATATTTTATGTCATAATTGCTCTTACTGTTTGAAAATGTAAAAGATTTAAAGGAAGTGAGTGCAATTAATCTACATACAGATTTTCTCAGTTTCCAGTCGTTTTATAAGGTTTTATCTCGCCTACATTCTTAACATGCATTTTCCAACCCATTGTGAACACCTACAGAGGTGCATGGGTTAAACTCTAGCTGCAGTGGAAAAGAAGCTCCGCCTCCCATTTCAGCACCTGGTGTTCTATAGACAGTTGCCTCAGCAGTAGATTTCAGAGGGGATTGGAGGAAAACAAGAGGGGGAGAGAATGTGACAACTGCTGACTCTGGCTGCTGCCTTGGGGAGGCCTCTCGCACCTGTCCCTGCCTGTCTCTTGGCCAGCACAGTTGTTGAATCAGACAAGCATAGAAACATTCTTATTTGCCAGACCAGAACGGTGTGCACAGAAAGAACATGACTTCTTCATTCAAGCTGGATTTTCTTCCCGAGATGATGGTTGATAGCCGTTTGCTAGTTTCTGACAGAATGTAAGTAGAGATTCAGTTGCCTGACAGCGTACAGATATAAAATCGAGCTCCTCTGCCTCTAGTAACGGAGCTTTTTGACATTCATATTTCTTAGAGGGTTGGGCATATAAACAAAGCACTGGGTTTGCCTCTGACTTGCTGCTGGAAGTCTCTGTGAGGAGTGTTTAAGGGAGAGTAAGGATTTTTTCTCCCGGTCACTTAAAATTGCTTTGTGATTTGTAGTTTGCTGGCCCCCCAAAAAGACAGCAGATGCATGTTTGATATTTAGTATTCTGAGGAGGCAGACTGATAACGATGGCTCAGGGAGGAGGAAGAGAAAGAGAAGTATGATTTTTATATTCTGCTGATGCAATATGGAAAAATGCACCCAAACCTCGCATAAATAAATGCACTCTTATGCCCAGTGCGAATTCCGATACAGGATTTTTGTCCTCTGCATGTATCATTTACATTTGGTGTTGGTATGCCGTGTTGCTTATTTCCTTCAGTAGTATAAATAAAGATTCACTTATAAAAATTAACCACTAATCCAGCTTCAGATTTGCAACGGCAATTCCCTTTCCAATTCAAATGAAATACTAATGATCAGGTGTAAAAATAGCTAGGTGTAGCATAGGGCAGAAATTAGAGGCAGTTTTGACTTAGTCCCAATGGTTTTATGGTAAATATAGTGTTAATTAATGTGAGGATGGTTGTTTCGTATGTAGTGGAACCACTGATAAGATTTATTGGAATATGTGAAGTGCTGGAATTTCAGAGAGAAAAGTATCCCTCTAATTTATCTCTGTCCTATTAATCTTGATCTAAAAGTTTCTATTATCATCCGGTTAGGGATTGTCAAGTGGTGAGTATTTTCATGTACTCCGGGCATGTAAAATAAAAAGAGAAAGAAAGATGTAACCAATTGATGAAATGTATGAAAATGGAATACCATGTTATTGTATTAAACATTCCTAAAATGCCTTTTATTTTGATGTTTTTCTTGTAGTCAGAATGATAAATGTGTTGAGTTCTTTTAGAATCAAGTAAGAGGCTTTGCCATTGGTTATATACCATATCTGTTCCGATGGAAGCAGTGCTTAAGTTTAAAGTGTAAATAAAGCTATGTATGTGAAGTAATGACTGCCATCTACAACTTGCTTTTCCCAAATCATCTTGTATATTGCACCCTGTTGTAAGACCATTCTGAGTTTTATTACTTACTTTGCTGGCAACAAACTTTCTCGTAAGGTGTTATGTTCTTTCCCTAGTGTAAGAAGCTTTTTGAGTAGAAGTATTCAATAGTAGCCAATTGTTCAAGCCTCTGAGATTTAATAAAAGGGGGAGGGAGGAAACATATTTCATGTGGATGACCGATACCATTCCAGTAATTTCATTCACTGTGAAGAATGGCTAAGTGTTTGCATAAATGACCAAGTCCAGTGTCTCAATTCAGATAATCTTAAATTAAAATAATGAATTTCTTCTTTGAAATTTTTCTTTAAGAACTTGTCTTTGTTAACACTAATCCCTTGCTGTTTAATTTGAAAGGATCTATATTTCTTTCCTTTTACATAAATTACCGTGTAAGCATACGTTAATGTGCAAAGTTGCAGCCTAAACATTCAGATAGCTTCTCTAACAGTCTTTTGAGAAGACCTGTCAAAGCCAAGAATTACCTTGTTTTCACCATCTCAGCTTGATTATATTTCTACCTGCTCTCCTTCCAGTCAGTCAGAAATGATATTGCTAATAAACATATTTGAACTCCATGGGTCTGTTAACTGAATTTGATGATGCCCCAGTTGTCACTTAGGCTTATGTAAATCTATCTTCTACTTGCCCCTTGCAGGGTGAGTACCATGTCAAACTGTTCCTTCTGCAGCTGCCTTTGTACATTTCTCTAGGAAACTCCTATCCTGTATTCTAGAACATCTTGAACAGAATAATCATTCTGCAGACGCAGGTCCTATTGCGTGTCCGAAACAATACAACTTATTTTAGACATACTTCACCCTTTTCTAAGTATATCTCCAAAAACTCATGTCTAAATGATGGAGAATTTTTGGAGTTTTTTTTATGCTATTTGATCTGTTCTTTTATTTGGAAACTTTAGTCCTCTAAGCTGCAAGTATTGTTGTGTATTGCCTGTGGGAGGAGAATTTACTTATTTACTAGATTTTTATTGACCAAATTATGACAAATTCTCAAACTGTTGCTCCATCATAATAAGAAACCTTTGCTTTGCTGCTGATCTAATAGCTGTGAAGTTTTATGATTTCAAGGGATCATTTGCCACGCATATACATAAATATTCAGACTAAGTTGGTATCTGCTAAGGGAGAAACATTCCTAAAAGAATTTTAAAATAAATGAAATATGGAGGCTTTGCTTCACATAGTTTTAGAGATTGATTGCACATGATGGGCCATTTGTCATGTAAGCATATTCCCCTTAAAATGGCCTGTTCCAGACATCCAGAGTGACACCATCAGGGTATAAAACAGTTTCAACATTTAGCACAATGTATTGGAGAGCATACACAAAGTTATCATTTTAAACAAAACTTTTAACCTTGCCAGATGATCTTCCTGTAGAACATACCTTAATTTGGTCTTAGCAAGAAGAAATTTCCTATTTTAAAGAATAATAGCTACCAATGAGCAGATAAAAATTGGCATTTTTATTCACTTGATCCTTTTTAAAAAGTTGAAAAATTCATAACTTTTAGTTTTTTGGTTTTTTTTTGTTAAGTAAACCAGCACAGTACAGTACCAACTACACTTCCAGAACATCTATGTACTTAAGAGGTATCTATAAAAGAAATTATTTCTTCCTTCTACCACTCAATCTCATCCTTCAGTTCAACAAGTAACAGAGAGAACCACATTATTTTAATAGTTGTCCATGCATTTTAGTAGCTTATTTGAAAGTTAGCTGTCCTACTTGATAATTATGTGTTATTTACTGTATTTAATAACCAACAAGGTAAGAAAACTTACCACTTTTAAATACTGCCTTTTTTCTTAGTACTTTACTATTTTTTTTTCCTAACTTGGGAGGTTTAAGGAAAATATGACATTTGGTATCTGAGCTTACCTGTAAACTAAAAGGTCCTACTTGCTTTGATGTATTTTAAATAATTAACTAAGAGAATCAAAACAACCTGCAAAATAAGTTAAATCTGAATCAATTTTGTTAAGGAATTTGAAAATGTCGCTCATGGGGGGAAAAAGGGGTTTTAAAGACATCATTAATGATATTTCAGATTCAAAAATATCTTGGTTTTGAGCAGTGTATGGGAAGTTGGACATTACTTCTATCATGAACAGATTGAAGAAAGAACTTTAACTAGTTATTGATCTACCTCACAATCGCCAAACAACTTCTGATCTCTTGTATGACTACCTATTCATGGTCCACATGCGTTGCTTATTTATATGTAATGAGCAACTTTTATTCTTCAAAGAGAAGGCCTAAATATACATGAATATTTTGAAAAATAAATTTGTTAATGAACTATAATCTAGTAAATAAGTTAACTGAACTTGCTTAGTGAGATACCTCCGTATTCAATTTGGGATTCTAAAGTGATTTGCTGTGAAGATCAGATTACTGAGAATTTCTTAGAGAGAAATTGGCTACTACAGCACCACCAAAGATTTTTACTTCTGTAGTGAAATTTGGATTACATGGGATAGCTTAACATTAGTATTATTTATTATTACTGACTAGAGGGACAAACTTGGGTTAACTTTCCCTTTCGGTGGCTGTGAATAAAGTCATTAAAGTACATGATACTGATGTCGTCAGAGGGGTCTAGAATAAGGCCACATGCAACTGATTGGGTTCTGTAGCAAACTGCCATAAATTATCCATTAAAAAACACAGTCTTTGAATTTGTGTCTCTCTCATCTTAAGGATGAGTCAAATTCATATATACGTACAATACACTAATTAAGCAACCAGTGAGGATACATTTTTCCATAGACTGGATGAGTCAAATTCATATATACATACAATACACTAATTAACCAACCAGTGAGGATATATTTTTCCATAGACTATATTTTTGCCTTACAAGGCATTAGCTAGACAGAATTTCATAAGAGATTTCATTATTCATGTGGAATATTTGCATGTGCAAGCGCGCACGCCCACATACACAAAACACATTACAAATAACATTCAGTGAGAACTCCATTCTGTAGCATGCCATATTAAAGTGAATTTAATAAAAATGATACCCCATTCGGAAATGACACTTATAGCCAAAAGTAATCTGTTTGCTAGCTCATTTCATGGTAAGACATCAAAACATGAATTGCCAACTGGAAACGTGTATGTTGGTATCAGCTATTCTCTCAGACCGTAACCTTACCCTGTGTTGGTATCTTGGAGAACAGTTCCCTCTTTGATCTGGTTTGTGGTATTATTTTAATTGTTATGACTTGCTACTTAATTGTAGTTTGCTCAGTTGAGATTACTTTGGTGTCCATTGATGGAAAGCAAAGAAAAGGAAAAAATATCCTTGAAAGAGCAGATAAAAAGCTTCAGAAAGGAAAAAGGATCTTCAGATAAAAACCCAATAATTAAGATTTTATTTGGTCACTTAACATTTTTTCTCCTATAATTTTTCTAGCAGCCTTCCTGTACTAACAATGTTCAGTATCTGATAAGTCTTATTAAAATATATTTTTCCAGTAAGATCCCTCACATCATATTAATAATCACACAAGTTTTTTGTTTCTACTTCTTGTTATCCAAATTAAACACCAATTATTGATGGTTTAAAAAAAGTTTCATAATTCTAAATATTTCGGTTAATGGTTTGATATTTTATAGTCCTCTTGGCTAAGGAGATCAAGTTTCATAATTAATCCCAAATGTTGTTTAAAAATAGTGCACGGGAATGACAGAGGAGAAAATTATGCAAAAATATCTCAGCTTTTAAAAAATTCATGGAATGCAAGGAATGCATTTCAACAAGAAATGACCCTCTGGAGAATGAGAGAAGTCAC